ATAAAGGGTGCTGGGAAGATCTGCTCAGAATGGGAGATGCATGCTGAAAGTAGACTATAGACAGAATATCATTGCCACCAAATGCCTCTTCTGCAAACTACAGTACCCAAAAAGGGAGTGCCCTGCCACAGAGCGGGGTTGGTGGTGGGTGGGAGGGATACTGGATTGGTAGGGGTGGAGAATGGGCACTGGTGGTGGGATGGGTACTCTATCATTGTATAACTGAAACCCAAGTACAACAACTTGTAAGTCTACAACTGTACCTCATGATGTTTCACTAATAAAACAAAAATATATTTAAAAAAAGCACAGTTTCTTTAGAGGTGAAGAAGCTGCTTAGTTTAAGATAGTCCCATTTATCTATCTCTGTTTTCAATTGCTCGGCCAGTGGTGTGACATCTTTGAAGATACCATTGACTTCAATGTGATGGAGGGTTTTGCCAACTTTGTCTTTAATGTACCTTATGGTTTCCGGTCTGATGTTGAAGTCTTTAATCCATTTTGATCTTACTTTTGTACATGGTGTTAGGCAGAGTTCTGAGCCCATTTTTTTGCATGTAGCCGTCTAGTTTTGCCAGCACAATTTGTTAAAGAGGCTTTCCTTATTCCACTTCACATTTCTTGCACCTTTGTTAAAGATTAGATGATCATATGATTGAAGGGAGATGTCAGTGTATTCAACCCTGTTCCACTGATCTGCAGCTCTGCCTTTGTTCCAGTACCATGCTGTTTTAATTATTACTGCTTTGTAGTGGAGTTTGAAGTTAGGGACCAATATGCTAAGACAGTCTACAGAATGGGAAAGGATATTCGCCCAATACACATCTGACAAGGGGTTGATATCAAAGATATATAAAGCACTGGTTGAACTCCACAAGAAGAAAACATCCAACCCCATCAAAAAATGGGGCAATAAAATGAACAGAAACTTTCTCAAAGAAGAAATCAGAATGGCAAAAAAGCACATGAGAAAATGCTCTACATCTTTAATCATCAGGGAGATGCAGATCAAAACCACAGTGAGATACCATCTCACACCTCAGAGACTGGCCCACATCCAAAAGAACACAATCCACCAATGCTGGCGCGGATGTGGCTAGAAAGGAACACTCCTTCACTCTTGGTGTGAATGCCGAGTGTTCAGCCCTTTTGGAAAACAGTATGGACGATTCTCAAAAAATTAGAAATTGAGCTCCCATTTGGCCCAGCAATATCACTCCTGGCAATATATCCCAGAGAGGCAAAAATGTATAGTCTAAGTGACATCTGCACTTGTTTGTTCATTGCAGAACTGTTTACAATAGCCAGAATCTGGAAAAAACCTGAGTGTCCAAGAACAGATGACTGGTTAAAGAAACTTTGGTCCGTCTACACAATGGAGTACTATGTAGCTGTTAAAAAGATGAAGTCATGAAATTTACATACAAGTGCTATTTCATGGAAAGTATCATGCTAAGCGAAATGAGTCAGAAAGAGAGGGATAGACATAAAAAGATCGCATTCATCTGAAGGATATGGACCTGTTCTCCCGTTGTTCATCTATTTGCTCGAGCAGACCCAGTAACGTCTCCATTGGAGACTTTGTTGCTACTGTGTTTGGCATATCAAATACATCACGGGAAGCTTGCCAGGCTCTACCGTGCGCGCGAGATACTCTCGGTAGCTTGCCGGGCTCTTCGAGAGTGGTTGAGGAATCGAACTCGGGTCGGCCATGTTGGCTGCTTGCAAGGCAAATGCCATACCACTGTGCTATCGCTCCAGCCCATCTGGGGGATATAAAGTAACAAAATAGGAGATTAATTCCCAAGAATAGACGAGATCAGTATCAGGAGGATTACTCTATGTCTTAGAGGCCAGCCGGGTATTCTAGGGGAAAGGGCAGCTCAGATAGAAAAGGGAGCACCAAATAAAGGGTGTTTGGAGGATCCTCCCAGGATGTTGAAAGTAGACTATGGACCGAACATCATTGCCACTCAATGCCTCTTTTGCAGACTACAACACCCAAAAGGAGAGAGAAAACAAAAGGGAATGCCCTGCCACAGAGACAGGGTGGGATGTGGAGGGATGGGTGTGGGAGGGATACTGTTATCCATGGTCGTGGAAAATGGGCACTGGTGGAGGGATGGGTATGTGATCATTGTATAATCGAAACCCAAGCACAAAATTTGTAAGTCTACAACTATACCTCTTGGTGTTTCACTAATTAAAAAAAAAGCACAGTAAAAACAAATATATTGCATGACATTGGTGTGCATTGCTCCAGAGAACTATTTGCCTTCAATCCACTAATGAAGTCATCCATGAAATTCCTAATGCAGAGTCTCTTGGATACCTGTCTTGATCTCTATGGCAAAAAGGTCTCTGACATTTTCAATTTCATATTTTACACGATGTGTGTAATTTTCTTGCCTAAATATTTACTTATTCTGTTTACTTTAATTGAAAATTAAAAAAAAATATTGAATCTCAGTGAAATACCCAGTTACAAGTTTGTGCATGAATGGGCTTCAGTTACATAGTGTTCCAACACCCATCACTTCCCCAGTGTACATTTCCCACCACCAATGGCCCCTGCTTCCTTGCTTCTGTTGCAGAACTTTTATTCTCTCCCTCCCTCCGTCCCTCCCTCCGTCCCTCCCTCCCTTCCTTCCTTCCTTCCTTCCTTCCTTCCTTCCTTCCTTCCTTCCTTCCTTCCTTTTCTCTTTCTTGCTCTTTCTTCTTTCTTTCTTTCTTTCTTTCTTTCTTTCTTTCTTTCTTTCTTTCTTTCTTTCTCTCTCTCTTTCTCTTTCTTTATCTTTCTCTCTTTCTTTGCTGCTTTCTTTCTCTTCTATGTCTCTTTAATCGAAAACTTCTTACATAATTGTATTTTTACCTATAATGTAAACCATTTAATTTAAATGGTATACACTGAAATATAATAATTTAAACTCTTTTTTAATTTTATTTGCTCTGTCTATACACATGATTATCAGAACAACTTTACCAAAGTTGATTAAAATAAAAATAATAAAAATTTAAAAAGAATTTATTGCTATCATTTCTGGGTAAGATTACTGAGATTATGTAATTTACTACTATCATTTATCATAAATTATGAGTTTTCATGACTTTCTATTTCTATGAGTTTCTATTGTCTTTTAAAGATCTTTCATTAATGCTCTTATAAAGTTGGTTTCAGTTACTATAAACTTCTCAAGCTGTTACTTGTCCAAGAAGCTTTGCATTATTCCTTCAAATCTCAATGATACCATAACTGGATAGTATATTCTTGTTGACATATTCACTTAACTGAGTTTTTTGCTATATCCCACCATTCTCTTCTTATTTGATAAATTTGCTGTGAATCTTATGAGAGACCCTCTGTATATAAGTTCCTTCTTTTTTGTTGCTTTCAGTGTTCAGAGACAGTATTCTCTGTCTTTGTCTTTTGTCATTCTGATTACACTGTGTCTTCATGTTTTTATATTTGTGTTACTTTTGACCAAGAATCCCTATGTCTCTGGAATACAAGTGCATTTATTCCTCAGTTATGGGGAATTCTTAGTAATTCTTAGCTTCTTTGGTAGTTCTTTGTTGATCTTGCCTTCCTGTTCCTTAGAGACCCCTAAGTTTCATCTGATTTTCCTCTTGAACTCATCCCATAGTTCTTTGATGTGCTTTTATTTTCAGACTTCCCCCCATCTTATGTTTTGTCTAGAGGTTTTCTGCATCTTAACGCCATGCTCAATGATTTGGTCCTCAGCTACTGAGGTCACTCCATTTCTATCATTTCTGATTATAGTTTACTCATTTCCTCTTTCATATTTTATTGCACTTTATTCACGGCCTGTACCATCAATTCTTTGTGCTCATTAAACATCTTATTATAGTGTCTCTAAAGTAATTTTTCTGGAAAGTATAGAGCTGTTGTTAGAGCCTTTAAGACTATTATCTTCACTCATTAACTTTAGGGAACTTCTACACTGCTTAGTAATTGTGTTTGCTGTGTTCTGAGGATAACTATTTTTAGTTTTCCCCTGCAAGAGCTCTCTAAGGGATTCATCTGCATTTCTCTTCCCTACTGGACCATTCATAGCAACTTTTCCCTGTGTACAGTTTGTGACTTTATGACCCAATGGATTGCAGGGTTATACTTGATACCATCTTCGCCCAGCCTTTCCTCAGGCTTCAAGTTAAACCTTAATTATTTCTAACCACTACCACTGCATTTTAGGCTTTTTTGTGGGATAACTATGATAGCTGTGTATGTAGTACTAATGACACAAAGGCATTAGAGGGCAGCCAGAACAACACAAGGATATGTGGGTCAGAGCAGAAGGTAAAAGTGTGTACAGTGTGAGTTATGAATAATAGAGCTAACGAGTGACCAATCCAAGGCAGCAGAATTTCCAACCTGGAATGAGGGGCAAGCTGTGGTCCAATTGAAGAGTCTGATTTTTGATCCCTAAGGCTATGAGGACTGACACTGGGGCAGGACCCTTTGGGGTTTCTGCAGAAAAAATAACACAAAGAGATTGGTACCACCTAAAATAGTGGTGGTTGGTGCTGGAGCAGGAGTGCCGAGGTTTTCTGACCTGAAATGGGGTCCAAGTGGCTAGCGGAGTTAGGGCTGCCATCCGTGCTTTCCCATACAGATAGCATCTAGCACTGGAGTAAGACTGGGTGGCTCAACTATTTCCTGTACTTGTTAAATGCAACATATGTATTCCATGGGGTGGGGGAATGAGATGCAGTGAGTAGTGAGATTTAGTGAATATTGACATGAAATGTATTTTTATATATATCATAGATGTTTGCAGCATAACTATCACTTTTATTTAAATAACATGACTTACAATACTGTTAATTTAATGTTTGTGCTTTAGACATACTGTGTTACAGAAGCACATCTTTAATTTAATCTTATAAATCAAAACTATGGGATCATTTGTGTACTTTAAATTTTTGTCTAGATAAATGTATGTTAAGTAACTTACCCAGATTATCTTTTTATGTTTTAGGAGACAGACAGTAGAAGCCTGAGAAGAAGATAAGCAACACATACTATTGTTATGTTGGTAATGTGACATGTCACATTATCTCAATAAAGCTCTGAAGTTTATGTAAAAGTAAATTGTGTCTTTTGTTACGTGTCTTCTTAGCAAATTGATGCCAGCATATTTGGCATCTTAAAATACTAAGATTCTGTTTAAAGCTGGTGCATAGAAGGAATATTTATGTCATTCTTTATTTCATTATTTGCTTCCTTCCTTCTCAGAATCCCTTTTGTTGCATTCCATAGATTCTGATACTTTGTTTTCATTTACATTAGATTTCAGGTATTTGTTGAGAAACATGTTGCTAAATCTCCACAGATTATAGTTTTTATGGTTCTGTTTGTTATATTGTGTGCATGTGATCTCTATGTTTATAGTACTGTGGAACGGTATATAGAAAAATACTTGTTATGAATTCAGTCTTCAAAAGTTGACTGAAAATTGCTTTGTGTTCCACGATATGGTATATCCTTAAAATACTCTGCATATGTGAAGTTGGAGAGATAGTACAGGTGTGAGGTTGACTTAGAAGTGGTTGACTGGATTTGATCTCTCACACCCCATATGGTCTTTTGAGCTATGCCAGGAGTGATCTCTAAGTTCGGAGCCAGGAGTAAGCACTGAGAACATTCAGGTATTGCTCCCTACCCACCCCAACACTAAAAGTTTATTGATAACTTTTTTGTCCTAATATGTGGTCTATTCTTAAACATATTTTGGATTTGTGGCAGACCTGGAATTGATCTCCGGCACCACATATGGTTCCCTGAGCACTTCCAGGAGTAAGCCATGAACAAAATGATTTGTGGCCCCCAAACCAAATAAATATATAATAATATATCTCATACACTTGAGAATATTATAAATACAGCTCTTTTGAGTTGAAAAGTTCCATAAACATCTATTAAGGGTTTTTTGTTTCTTCATTTGAGATTGTTTTCTATATTTAGTTGGCATCTCTGTGGTGGGGTGTTAGAATACCCTGTGTTATTGTATTGGTTTCAGTGTTACTCTAAAGTTCTATTAATAGTTGCCTGATGTCATTTTGTCTCCTACTTTGGCTGCATATAAATTAATAATATTTATTTCTATATTGCCCCCTTAATTATCCATCCATATTTATTATTGCCAATACTAGCTGGAAATTTGTCTTACTAATAAAACTGTATCTTTCATATTTAGGTCAACATTTACTTTGTAATCGACTTCTAACTTTTTACTTTGTTACTGTTTATCTTGGAAGCTAAGATGGGTTTCTTATAGACAGCAAAAAGTTGTATTTTGATTTATTTGGTGTCTATGCATTTTTAATGAATCATACTTAACATTTAGGGTAGATATTAAAATATACACATTTATTGACATTTCATTAGTTTTAGATATTTTCTTGAATGTGCGTTATTTTATTTTTCTCATTTCTTCTCTTACACTTAAACACCTTTTGCTATCAAAACATCATTTTGATATCCTTTTTCAATTTCATGTTATCCTTTTTTGTTTTATTTTGAGGCTTATATGCAAAATTCTGTGCTTTCGATCTTTTGATACATTGATCTTAAATTCATTTTCATGACCACAGTCTACTTTTATCCTATATCCCACATTGTATAATTTTGATGTCTTACTACTTCTTCGGCTGCAGCCATAGCACAGCGGGTAGGGCGTTTGCCTTGCATGCAGCCGACTCGGGTTTGATTTCTCCATCCCTCTCAGAGAGCCCGGCAAGCTACCGAGAGTATCACACCCTCACAGCAAAGCCTGGTAAGTTACCCGTGACATATTCAATATGCCATAAACAGTAACAATAAAGTCTCACAGTGGAGACATTACTGGTGCCCACTCAAGCAAATTGACGAACAACGGGAGGGTAGTGCTACAGTGCTACTACTTCTTAGGAGGGTTGCATTTCATTTTATGAAATCCCATCTTGAATTCCTTGCAAGCTTGGTTTAGTGGTTAAGAATTACTGTAATCTTTGCTAATATAGAAAATTATACCTTTATCTTTAAAAGATACTATCTCTCATCATAAAATTGAAAGTATTACAGAAAAAACAAAGACTGAAGTAATCCATTTTACTTGCCAGGTCAGGACACAATAATATGAAAACTAATTTTGAAATGAATTGAGAAGTGATACTATTACCAACTTGACATTTGTAAAATTCTCCAGGCACAAATGACCAGAAAACTAAATGGTTTAATCTTTTCAACCCATATATGAAACAAAAATGTATTTCTAGAGGTACAGCCCGCCCCCAAGGGCCTGGGTCCCTCTCTGGGCACGCGCAGCTAGAAACAGCCCCTAGACAGCCGGTTTTCAACCCCTGATCTGCGTGGGACGAGCACAGAGGCCCAGATCTGGGCAACAAAGCTGAACGGCACCAATTCCAACAGGTACAGCCCGCCCCCAAGGGCCTGAGTACCTCTCTGGGCACGCACAGCTAGAAACAGCCCCTAGACAGCCGGTTTTCAACCCCTGATCTGCGAGGGACGGGCACAGAGGCCCAGCTCTGGGCAACAAAGCTGAAAGGCTCCAATTCCAACAGGTACAGTCCGCCCCCAAGGGCCTGGGTCGCTCTCTGGGCACGCGCAGCTAGAAAGAGCCCCTAGACAGCCGGTTTTCAACCCCTGATCTGCGTGGGACGGGCACAGAGGCCCAGCTCTGGGCAACAAAGCTGAAAGGCTCCAATTCCAACAGGTACAGCCCGCCCCCAAGGGCCTGGGTCCCGCTCTGGGCACGCGCAGCTAGAAACAGCCCCTAGACAGCCGGTTTTCAACCCCTGATCTGCGTGGGACGGGCACAGAGGCCCAGGTCTGGGCAACAAAGATGAACGGCTCCAATTCCAACAGGTACAGCCCGCCCCCAAGGGCCTGGGTCCCTCTCTGGGCACGCGCAGCTAGAAACAGCCCCTAGACAGCCGGTTTTCAACCCCTGATCTGCGTGGAACGGGCACAGAGGCCCAGCTCTGGATAACAAAGCTGAACGGTTCCAATTCCAACAGGTACAGCCCGCCCCCAAGGGCCTGGGTCCCTCTCTGGGCACGCGCAGCTAGAAACAGCCCCTAGACAGCCGGTTTTCAACCCCTGATCTGCGTGGGACGGGCACAGAGGCCCAGCTCTGGGCAACAATGCTGAAAGGCTCCAATTCCAACAGGTACAGCCCGCCCCCAAGGGCCTGGGTCCCTCTCTGGGCACGCGCAGCTAGAAACAGCCCCTAGACAGCCGGTTTTCAATCCCTGATCTGCGTGGAATGGGCACAGAGGCCCAGCTCTGGACAACAAAGCTGAACGGTTCCAATTCCAACAGGTACAGCCCGCCCCCAAGGGCCTGGGTCCCTCTCTGGGCACGCGCAGCTAGAAACAGCCCCTAGACAGCCGGTTTTCAACCCCTGATCTGCGTGGGACAGGCACAGAGGCCCAGCTCTGGGCAACAATGCTGAAAGGCTCCAATTCCAACAGGTACAGCCCGCCCCCAAGGGCCTGGGTCCCTCTCTGGGCACGCGCAGCTAGAAACAGCCCCTAGACAGCCGGTTTTCAACCCCTGATCTGCGTGGGACGGGCACAGAGGCCCAGCTCTGGGCAACAAAGCTGAACGGTTCCAATTCCAACAGGTACAGCCCGCTCCCAAGGGCCTGGGTCCCTCTCTGGGCACGCGCAGTTAGAAAGAGCCCGTAGACAGCCGGTTTTCAACCCCTGATCTGCGTGGGACGGGCACAGAGGCCCAGCTCTGGGCAACAAAGCTGAACGGCTCCAATTCCAACAGGTACAGCCCGCCCCCAAGGGCCTGGGTCCCTCTCTGGACACGCGCAGCTAGAAACAGCCCCTAGACAGCTGGTTTTCAACCCCTGATCTGCGTGGGACGGGCACAGAGGCCCAGCTTTGGGCAACAAAGCTGAACGGTTCCAATTCCAACAGGTACAGCCCGCCCCCAAGGGCCTGGGTCCCTCTCTGGGCACGCGCAGCTAGAAACAGCCCCTAGACAGCCGGTTTTCAACCCCTGATCTGCGTGGGACGGGCACAGAGGCCCAGCTCTGGGCAACAAAGCTGAACGGCTCCAATTCCAAGAGGTACAGCCCGCCCCCAAGGGCCTGGGTCCCTCTCTGGGCACGCGCAGCTAGAAACAGCCCCTAGACAGCCGGTTTTCAACACCTGATCTGCGTGCGACGGGCACAGAGGCACAGCTCTGGGCAACAAAGCTGAAAGGCTCCAATTCCAACAGTTACAGCCCGCCCCCAAGGGCCTGGGTACCTCTCTGGGCACGCGCAGCTAGAAACAGCCCCTAGACAGTCGGTTTTCAACCCCTGATCTGCGTGGGATGGGCACAGAGGCCCAGCTCTGGGCAACAAAGCTGAACGGTTCCAATTCCAACAGGTACAGCCCGCCCCCAAGGGCCTGGGTCCCTCTCTGGGCACGCGCAGCTAGAAACAGCCCCTAGACAGCCGGTTTTCAACCCCTGATCTGTGTGGGACGGGCACAGAGGCCCAGCTCTGGGCAACAAAGCTGAAAGGCTCCAATTCCAACAGGTACAGCCCGCCCCCAAGGGCCTGGGTCCCTCTCTGGGCACGCGCAGGTAGAAACAGCCCCTAGACAGCCGGTTTTAAACCCCTGATCTGCGTGGGACGGGCAGAGGCTCAGCTCTGGGCAAAAAAGCTGAATGGCTCCAATTCCAACAGGTACAGCCCACCCCCAAGGGGCTGGGTCCCTCTCTGGGCACGCGCAGCTAGAAACAGCCCCTAGACAGCCGGTTTTCAACCCCTGATCTGCGTGGGATGGGCACAGAGGCCCAGCTCTGGGCAACAAAGCTGAACGGCTCCATTTCCAACAGGTACAGACCGCCCCCAAGGGCCTGGGTCCCTCTCTGGGCACGCGCAGCTAGAAACAGCCCCTAGACAGCCGGTTTTCAACCCCTGATCTGCGTGGGACGGGCACAGAGGCCCAGCTCTGGGCAACAAAGCTGAACGGCTCCAATTCCAACAGGTACAGCCCGCTCCCAAGGCCTGGGTCCCTCTCTGGGCACGCGCAGCTAGAAACAGCCCCTAGACAGCCGGTTTTCAACCCCTGATCTGCGTGGGACGG